TCTTTGAATTTCAGTATCTAAGATTACATTCACCAGAGAGTCAGGAGATCATCTGTACCCAGAGATGTCTGGCTCTGATTTTGAAGCCTCCACAGAGACAGTAACTTCACTACAGCACAGATTCTCTATATTTAGTATTTTATGTGCAATTACAGAAGGTTATCTTCAGCACGGCTGTGCGAAAAGCACACTGGGGAAAGAAGGTGTGTTGTGAATGATTGTTTTAGATTTGATGCAGTAACATTCTAGAGCAACTTCCATGAAGTTGCCCTAGTTGAATGCAGAGGAAAGGGCTTCACCTAGGCTTCACGTTAAACTGAAGTGCCTTCCGTGACGAATCCTGCTCCCTGCACAGGCTCCTGATTGCTAATCCTGAACCAATTGCCATTTATCTAACAGGGAAGGCAATAATAACTTCCAGACTCATTTTCATAGAGGTGCTGCAACATTAAGTAAACTCTGCTGTGAACAGTTACCAAAAGCTGAACATGTCAGACTGGTTCTTGTGCATTTTATTCAAATGAACTTCGTGGTGTTCATTTAATAAATTACAAAACTTCAAAAGGAAAACAATAATGAGTTTAATTTTTTTTTCTTCCCTGATATGAAGTCACACCAAACAATATTTATGTAAGGAAAAAAAACAAGTAAGTATGGTACTTTTCAAATCATTTTTATTAACAACAATATGGATTCAACTTTGTCAAGAATTTACAATTAATATTGTAATGTACTGGCTAATGTTGTTTCAGTGTCAGTGGAAGCAGCCATCGTGCTTTCTAAGCCTGCTACAAAACTGTCTTTTTGTCTTTCAAAGAAGTCAAAAATTCTTCCAATAGCAGATGATATTGGGTATGTCTGGAATTGTCCTATGTGTGGCCACAACTAAATGAATAGCCATATATTTCATCCAGATGAACGGACAGGAAAATATTGCATGATTCCACTGACGTTGCAGGGGACAAGTCTTATTTCAAAAACTAATTAACCTTTTTAGACAGTGACAGCACTTTGTGTAATGTTGCAATCCATTTGAATTAAGTCAATTAACACACTTGGAAAAAAATGTGAAGCAGAAGTATCTGGGACAAATTCTTTTCTGACCTGTATTTCATTCAAACCTAGTGAATCCAAAAGGATTGCATGACATGAGAGTCAGGATAAAAGTTGGCCCAGAGAGGCAAGTTCATTTCTGGTATAGGTGGGTTCAGTTCCTTTAAGGCCAGTGGAACTGAGCCTGGTTATCCCAATGGAGGCAGAGCTTCACCCAGTTGGGCAGTGAATGCATTGAAGTCAGTGAAGCCATCCAAAGATGAATTTAGCCTCAGGTGTTTAAACCCTTTTTTCATTCCTTTGCTGTTATATTTTTCTGCTTGCTCCAATTTTCTGATTATTCTCTGTGCTTTTTAAAATTGTCCCTTCACTTCTTCCCTTTTTACATCAGTAATTTGTGCGTTATTTTTTGTATAGTCAATGTGACATGGGTAAATTCAGCTTAGTATTCGTTTCCTCAGGAAATAACTGGAATATTACCATTTTCACTTTAAACAGATGCCCAACAATATTAGGATTTGAATCTGAGTTCCCAATTCAAGAAAAATTCTTGAATTTCATAGAATGAATGAATTCCATAGAATTTTTGCTTGAGTAAGGATTGCAGGTCCCAATCCAGAAATAGTACTGTACATCAGATGTTCTACTATACATCAGCCATTCAGCATGATTTGACTTATCACAAAAGCAGGTGAATTACTCATCACCATACTATAATGAGAGCAGTCACTCTAATAGGATTATCTCAAAAACATGGAACAACTGTGGGCACTGTGAATAAAAGTGTATGATCTTTGCAATCTCGAACCCTAGGCTAAAACATCATATTCATATTTAAATAAAAAGTATAGATAATATAAGCCAGGAGCAAATACAAATTCTTAAACAAGTAATAGTCATCAAAACTATTCAGTTCTCCATTTAGGTAGAAGAACATGCTGATCAGAAAACAGTTATTTGGATAACGCTTAATTCCTGAATCTTTTACTTAAGTTCAAATTCTCTCTTCCAACAATCCTCAAGTGGATTGTAAATCAGAAAAAAAAATTGTCTTTTGTCCTGACTCATGAACACAGCTGTCATGAGCTGGACTTTAATAAGCAGCTCAGGACTAGATTTGAAAAGCCAGACAGGCCCTTCTTTTGTGAAACTAATGAATGACTGTCAGTCATGACACTGTCTTTCAAAGAGAGAGCATAGAAACAGGAAACTCCTCAGGAAACTCCTCATAAGGAAATATAAGTAAAACTTATAAAAATTCAAACAAACAATTCTTCCTCTTTAAAATTTCATATATTCACTACTCTTTCTACTTCCTATCAATATTATGTTAAAAACCCCTATATGGTAAGACTTGCAGCTGCAAAAATAATAATGGTGAGCATAAAAGAAAACAAATTAGGATTTTAAACCATAATCTGAAAAGATACGATCTTCTGGATTTATTAGTACTTTGTAAAGATATTAACATTTTCATACATAATTTATAGAACTTATTCTTTTGTGCACAAAATTGTATTAAATAAATTAACTTAAAGTTAGAAGGACTCAAGCACGTCATTTAAGGCAAAAATACCAAGTTTCTGTGAGATAAATTATCAGCGAAACCCAAGGCCCTGTTTCTGTGAGGAATTGGTACAGGCAGGGCCAATGCTCAATTCTCCCATTGACACAATGTGGTGCAATCATCTGCTCACATAGATGAAGGTGGAAGAGTGGTGTTCAATTTATGATGCCTTGATTTTTCAATCTCCTCAAGGAGGGGAAGGGAGTTTCGTTATAGACACACAGTTGCCGTGTGCCCGATCTCTTTCTCCTTAACTGAACCCTAACTGCATGTTTATGCTTAGGTCAGCAGGAGGCTTTGTGTGAAGGGCAAGAAAGGCACCATAAAGAGTTTGGAAAAAGGAAAAGAAAACAAAAAAAATATTGTAAGTTTTTAAATTTTTGATAGTTTAAACTTACAGATCTGTCTGGATAAACTGCAGACATTCATGAATAAGTTAATAGTTAAGTGAACTGAGATGTGAAAAAAACTGTGTTTGTCCTCACGAAATTACTGTTGTAATCAGGCTTTAGCATGATCAGATTGCAAGTAAAGGAAAACAGAAAAGGCTGAACGTGGTAAATTATATGGCAAATCAGCGGTGAGGAAATTGTGCTTCAAGGTGTCTTTCAGGATTTAACAACTGAAATTTGCTCCGGTGTAAGCCATGGAACACAGTGTACCATCCGTGGACCCCGTATAATGACACAATATATACACTCTACAGTTTGCATGTACTTTCACATAATAAAATTGTCATGTAACATCCAGGAATACTTCTTTAAAGGAAATATGGAAGCAGAAGTTACAACGGATTCATAGTAAACAGATCAGGTCCTTCACAATACAATCTACAGCACTTAGCCATGGTTAAGACTGGAGTGATGTTTTTGATGTACACAGTAAGTTCCCAGTGGGTCTGGGCCTTGAGAAAACACTGCCCTGAGTGAGCTGGCACTGGCACCCCCATACATTCGCTATTCCTGGTGCTAGAGGGAAGCTGAGCCCAAGCTGGGTTGTCTACAAGCCTGTGGTGCAGGTGAGGTGTAAATCTGCGAGGAGGAAACACACAGAAATCTCATTCAGCTGGGAAGAGCAGCAGCCTCTTTGGGCTGTGCAAGGGTTCTCCCAGTAGCAAAGCATTGCTGGGGATGTGCAGAGAGGCACTAAGACTGCTCCTGCATCTCAGCAGAAGTGAAGCGTAGGTGAGGGTAAGAAAAAAAAAAAAAAAAGAGGATGTATCAGGCAGGAATGCTCAGTCTGATGTAGGCTTTGAATTTGAAAACTTGGGTATTCGGGGGAAGGAGTCTGAAAGTCCTGTCTTGGAAAGTTCACAAAAAAATGACTGCCGTTGGGACACAGTGCTAAGATTTAAGAGTTTGCCACTTTCCCTCTTTCTCCTCATCATCTTTTATTAAAAAAGCAACAAACCCTTGCCTTATTCTTTTTATTTTTCAGTTAAGGTGTTCTTATCTACTTCTATTTTCATTTCTGATTGCCCTCATGGCTTTTTTTTTTTTTTTTTTTTTTTTTTTTTTTTCCTTTTTTTTTTTTTTTTTTTTTGGAAATAGCATTCATTATCCGTGGGAAAAAAAAAAACAAACAACTTTTTCCCTCTTTACCCTTCTTGTTTTATTTTCTGGGATAATTTCCCTTCCTGCCTATCTAAATCTGTATTATTATTTATTTCCCCACTGTTTGTGTTGTCTTTCTCTCTCCTCTGTTCTGTCTTCTTTAGTTTTACTTTGTATTTCAGTTCCTTGTTTTCCCTCCTTTCCTAGCCTTATGAAGTGCTGCAAGGAAAACTACCAAAATTTCCACAGAAGGAAATATTGCTTCTAAAATAAAGGCAGTCAGTGCCTGCTTCCTTCCCTCACCAATTGCTGCCAAAATGGTTCAGATTCACAAGACAGCTTCTCAATGAGACTAGAAGGAGAGATTCCCCTGAATTCTCAGTGTAGCCACCCGCATTATCCTCTTCTGAGGCCAGCCCCAATCCTTAAAATACAAACTTTTTGTAGCAAAATAGCGTTCTTTTTATGAAGAACAATGTAATATTGCTGTGTCAGGTGCTTCTGCCACAGCACTAAGTCACCAAAAATTAGATGGATGTTAACCTATTGTTTCTCAGACCTAAAAATAACTGTTAATGATGAGCAAATATTTCTATCTTGCAACTGGCAGCCATTTCTAACCCCCCCATTTCTAGCCATATTACTGGTTTCCTTGGTACCTTGCTAGCAGCTGTAGATAATTTTTCTGTTGTAAACATAAACTATCATCTAAATCAGGACATTATATATATATATTTAATTAGTTCAGAAGCAAAGTGCTTTAAACCTTGCAGTTTTTACTTCTGCTCTGTAGCAACGGCACTAGGTCTAATTGCTCAAATTTTTGATTTTTTTTTTCTTTTTGATACATCCTGCAGCATTAGCTTTGTAGGCAACTCATTATTTAAACCTACTGTACTGCATCAAAGGCTGCCGTACTGTAGGCGTAAATTTGGATGTTAGCCATCACTTAAACATGCATTTTCATGCAACTAGGAAATATATGGGCTCATTCAACTGCTTTGCAGATTCATCCTGAATTTTGTGATTTTATCTTACTGAAAAGGCTTTCAAAACAGTTCATGCTATGATATGTATGACTAGAGGAATGAACCAGCCAATGAAGAAAGCCAGCAAGCCATTATTTCAGTTTGACATGGAGCAGATTGAGTGCTTCTGTACCATCCCCTGGCTTGAAGATGCTTTGAGATGATCTTGATATTCCAGTCCTTAGAGAGTCAGCAGAGAGAGTTGTTTCCACTAATGGGCGCGAGATGGCTTCAGTAGTCTCTGTTCCTGCCTCTGTCTCCAACTCTTCATCAGTTATAAATAATTTTGACTCCCTCCATTTGGAGTATACATCTTGGCTACCTCTGGAACCACTGGAGTCACTGCCAGCAATCTGTATATTCAGTTCTTCTGTAGACTCTATAAGATTTTGTACAGATAAAGATTTTCCTAAGTCCATTTGCACCACAGGTTTAACTGAGAGCAAAGGTTCCCCTTCTGTATCCAGACTTTTTCTCCACGTGAGATCCTTTGTTGCACTGGGCTGTGCAACTTGTCCATTATCCTTTGATGCAACAAGGCAAGCGGTGACATTGGAAATATTTTCCTGTGTGGTTACAGGAATAATATGAACAGGCTCAGGCTTATTGATATGCTTCATTGATGAGAAAGGTGGTATTTGTAATGTTGTCGGAGTTGCTGGCTTAGTTGCCTGGTTTATTTGGTTTGATGTATTATTAACTGTTGCAGGTCCATCATTTGGCACTTGTGTTGCTTGACTATGCATAGCTGGACTGAAAGCATAGTAAGCCTGAGTGCTAAATTCATTTGGTGTCAGTATAAGCTGTAGGCCACGAGGCAGATTGGCACTAGCTGATCTGGATACACATCCACTAATTTGTGCAGAATTAGACAAATCTTTGCTGTCTGATGGACTCTGATAATCAGAAGTCTGCTCACACTCAAAAGCTGGCATTTGAAATGAAGCCAAAGTGAGCGCAGATGCAGATCCTTTTCGTAAAACTTGTTGATAAATGTCTAATAGACAGTCCAATTTTGACTCAATAGATTGTACCTATAGGAAGAGAGGAAAAGGTCAACATTAGTGCCAAATACTAATTTAAAATATTTTGAACCCAAGCAAAGAGAAAATGTGACTGCTGAAGAGAAGAACGAAGGTAGCTTGGCATATGCTATTGACCCTTGGAAAGAAAGAAGTCAAAAACCAAGTACATTTTTCACAAGCAAGCTAATAAAAGGGAATAAAAGGTTAAGGTAATACAGTCCATATAAACTTTATTTCAACATATAAGCAGATATTAGAAAAAAATATTTTACCTGTTCAGCTTTTGAAACTGGCAGTGAAGTACAGAATAGGCCATGAGCAATTAAGCAAGACCAAGCAACACAGATAATCACTCTACCTGTTTCTCCACTTTGACTACCCGCCCTAACATACTGAGGTCATCAGTTGTCTCATTCTCTGCAGGATTCTTTTCTCTGGTTCTTTTATCTGCTGTGATTTGTCCTTTCCCAAGAATTTGGTCAACACTGTAAGAGAAATCAAAAGCTGCTGCGATTCCTGAAAACAGTGATGATATGAAAGTGTGTGCTGTATCCATTCATTAAAAATGAACATCACAGTACTTCAAAAAAGCAGACAAACATAATTTTATTAATTAAAAAAAAAAAAAAAAAAAGGAGGGATTTCTGAGCATTTGAGACTGCTTTTCTTTTTTGTTGGCACTAACCAACCCTGGGAGAGCCAAGCGTAGACCTGCTGAAAGAGGGAGGGAGGAGGCAGCCTCTCCAGCAGCCTGATGTTGTGGAGGAACAGGCGTACCAGTGCCACCCCCAGCTTTCCTGTCCTAACGACAGCATTCAGTCCTGGAGAAATTGTGAGTTTGAAGCAGGAGTCTCAGCCTCGATGTTGATAATGGTAAATATGATAAAATGTTGTGTTTTGTTTTGTTTTCTTAATTACTATTGCCAAGAATCTATAACACAAAACCTACATAAACCTACCATAAATACCATAAATTACCAGTAGTTCCCAATTTCTTTTATGTGAAATAGAAGGCCTCAAGTGGGAGAAAGGCATATCCTTTTGGCAACCTCCTGACTGAATTCCTTGTTTGCAAATGCACTTTACAGATAAAGGATTACCTTTTCTATTGTTCAGACTTCCATTTTCTGAGGACAGTTTAGATACAAGCTTTTTGGTTTAGTTTTGCCCACAATTCAATTTCTATCTCAGCTGTGTTCATAGAGAGGTTGTGTAACACAGAAATGTTAAACTTTGCCAATATACAGTGTGCAGTGTATGACATTAGATGCTCATGCAGAATGGGACCAATTCTTTCCTTACCGTGACTGGAGACTCTTAATCCTGCATAACATGTCTAGATGACCTGCTGAATACTGTTCAATGACATCTTTGACATCATATGGGCGAAGTGTTTCCTTAAACTTTCGCTTTGCAACATGAAATTTCATAATTCTGTGGGGGAAAAGTGTTTTGCAGATTAATTTTCAGCAGTTGTGAAACAATATGATATATTTCACTGACACAGTTTGATAGCTATTTTTTTAATGGAAGGTGTTTTCAGTACAGCTTTTACACAATTGTTTTTGTAAGTAAAAATGCGCAAGTACAAATGCACTCTTACAAATGTTCTGTAGCTATCCCTTTGAATTGCTGTTTAAGAGAGTTGAAGTAATACTATTTTAACAACTGCAGACCATGTTTAATGTATCAGTATATACCTGTTTGGCTTTTATATGTTAGGTGGGTGATATGAAAAGTACTGAAGTACATGCCTAACTTAAACCTGGGATTAGTTCCACTGACTAGAGTGGGCTATCCTGTAAGCTACATCTGTGCTTATGCTACTTCTTTTCTTTAAAGAGAAGAGATTTCTCTGATGAGTGGATTACACAAACATAGATCATAATATTCTCTTATTCATTTTAAGTTCCTAGCTCTCCACTTTGGTTAAAAAAAAAATATTTTATGCACCCATTTTATTTTTCATCAGTTTTTATTTTTTAACTGACATTCAGGCCTAAGAATTTATTTTTAATTTATTTGCCTACTTAAGATCAAATTTTGCAGGCTAAAGAGAAGGTTTTATGTTTGTTCCCTACTGGAATATATGGAAATTATTACTTAATTAGCATTTATTTTTTTCATGAATTTTACTGCAGAATACGAAGTTCAAGATAACAAAATTGATGAATGGCAATTTTTTATTGTGAGAATTGCACAAGTTTCTGTGATTTGTGATATGTGAGCATGTGATGCCCACTGAGTAGCTCTTCTTAGAATGAAAAACTTGATATTAAACTGTAAATTTTAAATAATAGAAATGACAAAATTGGAAAGTAAATGACAGCAAGATTATTTTCCAGGTTAGCTGCTAAAACCTGAAGTTTTCCTTGGTTTACATAAGAACTGGAGAAGGGAGAAGAGTTCCATGTAAGAACTGGGAGAGAAGCCAAGGCATCGGGTGTGTTAGCTATTCTGGTCTGTGCTACAGAGCTTATGAATTCCCATTAGGGCCAAACTGCTGATATTTGCTGATATTGCAACTGAAAAAGGAAAGACAGTAAATTGGTATCCTATTCCAAATGACAATAGTTCATGCTAATATAGGTAGCATAATATATTTGTGCTTATTATAATATGTATTTAGAAGCTGTAAGACAACAAATTATAATAGAAACCAAAACATGGCTCTCACTCTCCAATGAAAATAGATTAGTAAAGTTTTGGTAGAATTTAGAAAAAAAAAACTTTATATAGTTAGGACAGACTTTATGATAATAGGTATGTAGAGTTTGATAGTATAGAGTGATGCTCTACTGATTTTTTTATCATACATAAATATTTTTTCAAATAATGTCAGCCTTTTCTCATAGTGCTTAAACTGTTGATATTTCCCATTCTGGTACTTTCAGTTAAAAATGAAATTGTTTGTCACTTGCATAGAGCTTGAACTATAATTCTGATTATAGAAATTAAAAATGGAAAAGGCCTGTTAGGAGTAGTTCATCACCTTGACAGTTCAGGACTGATCTCCATGCAGTTTTAAATATATCAGATGGTGCACTTTCCTCTTTTGCATTGCCAGCTGGTTCAACAGACCAAGGGCTTTTGGCATCTTTTGTAGTCTGCAGGCCTCTGAAGATGGGATGAATCTGGGATGCAGATTTTATTTTCTTTTAACTGTCAAATGAGGCCAAGATATTCAGTTCATAATACCTTGACAACCCAATCTTTTGGAATCTAGTTCCTTATTTAGGTTACAAAGAATAAATGATGTTGCTGACATACAAGATGGTGTCATAATTTTGTTTTTATTATTATGTTTTTGTGGCCACAATTTTTTACCTTGTGCTCTTGATAAAATAAAACTATGAAACTCTATTAGAAAAGCAGAGACAAAGGATTAATGGCATAATTGAAGACAACCAAATTTAACACAACTGGATGATTTTACAAGCGAAGAGACAGAAGACTAATTTTTATTAACAGCCATGGAAACTTCTTAATCAGCATGCACAAAAGTCTTCATTACTGCTTTGCAGTTTCATAACACTTTTTTTTTGCTAATCAAGGCAGTTTGTTCATAGTGCTCAGAATTCAAACACAGAATTGAAGCATCACAGCTATATCAGTGAGGTGTAACTATACTCTTTCTCATTTAGGTATTTGCTCATGTGATTCCATCTTAATTAACTTAAGCAGGGTTCGGAACAAACCTGTATCGCTTACTTCTTTTTCTTCAAATATACAAAACTTTACATAACCTGTGCAAAAAAACCCTGAAGTGTTGCAAAAGACTGCCATTTTAAAAGCCCACAAGTTAATTAAGAAAAAGAAAACCTGAATTCTTTCAGTGATGGAGCCTAGCAACTGCTTTGCAGTTATTAAATTTGGATGGATTTCCATAGTTATTTACTGTCAGTTTTTAAAACTCAATTGGCTTCCTGTATCTTGAAATAACTATGTGATTGACTGTAATTGTAATCTTTACTGTGGGAGTGGTGCGGCACTAGAACAGGTTGCCCAGAGAATCTGTGGATGCTCCGTCCCTGGAAGTGTTCAAGGCCAGGCTGGATGGGGCTTTGAGCAACTTGGTCTAGCAGGATATGTCCCTGCCCTTGGAAGGGGCGTTGGAACTAGATGATCTTGAAATCCCTTCCAACTATCTCAAACCATTCTATGATTCTATGATTCTGTCATTCTATGATGATTCTATATGCTTGAACACCCATGTCGATAGATTATTATAACTTTGTAGAGTGTATGTTCCCGTGGGATAAAAACGAAAGGCTCAGTTTTGCGGGCACAGGCGGGTAACCCACCCCTGCAAAGAGGAGAAAATGAGCACAAAGTTATGCATACTCAAATTATTTGGAGCAGCAGCCCTTAGGACAGGAGGGACAGGGCAAACGAGCCCGGGTCGTCATTTTCAGCGGAACCACCAGGGGGCAAACAAGACTCGTCATAGACCGAGCCGAGTCGCCACTGACTGCACTGAAGTGCTGGTACCGATCTGGCAGCAGCGACTAAAAGTAGGAATCAACTCCGAACAACAGCGCCGTGTGGTCTCCACGACTTTTAAAAACATTGTTGGCATGTTCAAATCGCTGTATGACACGTAGTGCGGTGGTGTTTTATAACCCAAATATATTGTGATAGACGATATGTATTTGTAAACCCACCCAAATCACAAGGACGACAATTTTCTGGTGAGAATTAGGCAAATAAGTAGCTTGTTTCAATGATGCATCCAGAGGAAAGCAGAAAAAAAGCCTTGTATTGAAGCAGACCAATACATAAAAGTGCTTTGTCTAGAATCAATGTCCACAGGTCCCACTAATCTTATCTCGTACCCTGATAATCTGTGGAAAGTTACAGGTCCAATACCAAATGTTGTCTTATTGACTCCAGTAGCCAAAAGCAGCTCCCATTTCATTTATCTGTTCTCAAATGCAGGATCAGCACTGCTCTAAAGTTACAGCATTTTCTGTAAATGCAGGTTGCATATCTTCCCTGGCATTCACTGCATTTTAGTTTCCATTCATGTTGACCCTTCCATCATTAAAAGCTATTCTGTTTGTCATTTAGTCAACTTTGCTGAGACTGGCACCAAGTTAGAACATTCCTAATCCTCTGTGCAGCCCTTTCTTAATCATGTTATTTTTTTAAACCTGTGTCTTGTCAGTCTTGCCACTGTCTCAGGAAGAAAAAGTTTCATTCTACTGGGATTCAGGTAGAATCATACAGTTACTTATTACTACTGCTTTAAATATTAAAAGACAGGTAGGTTGTTTCACCCATAGGCAGATGAGGTGACCGCAGGCTGTTTGCTCGCCTGCTCCATCAGGAAAGCTGATGCAAAGAGATCTAGCTGTGGTGGTTCCTCTGTCTCTCTGTCCTTACCTTCCCAAATAACCCTTTGTCCAGTAAGACTGCAATGTGCAGAAGAGATCAGGATCTAATATAGAGATGCCAACAGACAAACATGCTTGAGAGACAGTTCAAATACATGTGAGGTGAATGAGTCAAAATTGCCTCCTCTCTCAGGTCTTGACTTGGACTAATCCATTCCCTAGAGGCAGAGATATTGTTTTTTTCCCAAGCACGGTCCTGTTCTAGCCAAAGACATACCTAAGACCCTTTCCTAGGCTCTGAAGAGCATCTGGGCAGAAAATATACAATGTGTTTGGTTTTAAAACAGGATTCTGAAACATAACATTGAACAAATTCATAGTGGCTGCTAAAAATAAATTTTTTAGGTGTTAGAGAAACATTGCAAAGACTGAACATAAATGTAAATTATGTTTTCCATCTTTGTCTATTAAATATGTATGACTATTCAACTATACAGCTTATCAGCTCAAGAGCTCTCAAGTTTCATTATGTTTAGCTACATTTATTATTTTTTTTTATTAACAACAAATGAAAACATATCTTTGTAATCACTAAAGAGAGAAAAGATCTATTAGGTCAATACGTTCATTTCCTGCCAATGCAGTTATTTCTACTGCATATTTATTTATGTTTCTCAAATCTTATTTTATATTCCATAAATAGTGACATAATTCCATAATTTCCACTGTGGAGAGTATTATAGAATTGCATGCCTCTTGCTATGGAAAATGATCAGAGATATCACAACATATGGAAACAAGGTATCCTCATCTTTCTTGAAGTCTCTTTTATACACATTCATCTTTCTGAACTAACAGAGTTGGAAAATTCAGTGGGTTTTGTTAAGCTCCTGGAACTCAGCAGGATATTAGTGGCTTTTTGTTCACAACAACACAGGGGACAGTTGAATAGTGCTACAAAACCTACTGGCACAGAGGCTTAGTGTACTGCTAGCAGGAACTGCTTTGTGCACTGCTCTGATCCCAGCCACAGGCTGCAGAGGAGCAGGACTGGTCCTGCTCTGGCTCAAGGCACGCTGTGGAGCACACCATCTTTCACCGCACTACCCAACTGTTCCCTACTTACCCAACACTGTTAAAATGCATCAAGTAGCTTTTCCTTACTTTCCCTACTCCCACAGCTGATCTTGCCTGACAGAGCTTGTAGTAAGGGGGGGATGGAGGAGGCAGCACAGGAGATGAAAGACTCAGATTGGGAAGCTTTGAGAGCAGGTTGACAGCTTAACATGTTACCAGACAGGTCTGCCTGGTGGGTCTTGGTAGGACTGGTTAAGAGTCCTGTCTCTTTTGGAAAGGACCAAAATGGTAAGAACTTTGTCAGGAAAGGGTTATTTTCTCTGTTGTCTGTTTTGACCATTTCAAAATGAAAGTTTGGGCATTTGTTTATTTAAAATCAAGAAGTTGTTTTGAACAAAAAAGTAGTCTTGGAGAAAATGTAAGTAAATAGGGTCAAAACTGAAGCACTACACTTTGAAATTATTAAAATGAAAGACTATAAATAAACCAGTTTTTGTCTTTTGCTATTTGAAGGCTGTCCAACCTGAGAGTAACCAGTATATTTTAGGTTTCTTTCACAGAAAAAAGCCCAAGCTCAAATGATTTGATTCCAAAACTGAGAGAGGACCTACCTCTGTAAACCCACAAGCATGAATTAATTTGGCTAATTTAATTTCCTTCACAAAACAAAAGGGCCATTTTTGTAATTTGTACCCATCTCTAAGCAGGGAAAAATAAATATTCTCCCTTATTACAATTTTTCAAGTTGATTTATCAACAATGGATTCAACTGCCTGTGTTTATATTTGGGGTCTTTTCCTAGTGTTTCATGAAGCTATGCAAGTGCCTTCTTGTCTTCACCTGCTTCTGTACACCAGCATATAGGGCAAAACAGCCTTTACCCTCCCCCATTGCCTTTGCAATTCAAAGCCGTTTCTAAAAACAAACTTCAAAATGAGGCACAGAGTTTCCATATAGGCAGATGTTATCATCTTGAAATTCTACAGTTACTATATAGAGTCTCCGATCCTTCTTCAGATGTTTGCATAGATTCCAGGTAACAGATACTCTGAATAACCAGAAAGAGGTGTATCAGATACCTGATGAACTGAATTATCAGTCTCTTGATTTTGAGAGATTAAAGTGTAGCATTTAACAGAAGTCTGAAGATCATGGCACGTTACTGCTTTACACATGTCAGACAAAGGTATGTTTCTGAACCAAGAAGCATGTGCCGCTTGTAATCTAGTGAAATGCTAACATTTGGAAGGAGATGGGAGAGATTCATGGCTAACAGATAACAAGCGGAGATTCTTATTCTCATCCTCAGTGGTGAAATTAGTTGTTTTTCTGGTAAGCTGACCGTGCAGAGAACAGCTGGAGATAATCTTAAAATTTAATGCTCATTAGTTAAGTAGTGCATGAATGACTATCAAACTCTTGCATCTTTGATCTTATTATGAGAACATTTTTGTGGAGAACATTTGCCAGCTATGTCCTTCATGTGTGGTTACTTTCCATTTGAACTGATAATGACCAAGAGAACCAAGCAAAAATGCAAATGATGCACTGAACAGTTCAGTGGCACCTTAGAAAACGAGCTTCAAGGAATTTGGATCTTATTAACAATGAGATGATCACTGGTATTGCTTGCCTGTACAAGTATCAAGGTGCACTTGTAGCCAAAAGTCAACCAGTCTATTTAAAATGCAGCATCACAGATAAGAATCTTTAGCATTAAAGCCACCTGACTGTGCTAATTGTTCCTAATTTGAGCATTTTCCATATGAGGGAATAGGGTTGCCTTGTAGGTGGGTGTCCACTGTGTAGAAGGATTTCTGTCACCTGCTGAAACATTTCTGGCAAGAGACCATTCTCATCAGTGACATTTGAGTTGTCAGTTGCAGTGGCTGTGGGCACGGGCCTGGTATCTGACAAGTTCTGTGAGGTCATTTCCAGGAAGGTTGGAAAAATGATTGGGAAAGAAGTCTGCAATTTATCTGTCAAGCTCTCTGTGCTAGTAGAAAAGTTTTAGAAACAGCCTTACTCAGTGTCTGTCTTCATTTTAATCAGTGGAAAAAGGGGAAGGAAATACAAGTAACCCATAGGTTATCGCTGTATGAAATTAGTTGATAAAAAGCTTGAGGGTTTTTTTGCTATAGTGCTGAGAAAACTCAGGCAAGAGTTGCCCTGCAGGAAAATATCATTCTTCTGTAGGTTTTTGCAGCAATTCCTTTCTGTCTGTCTGTCTGCCTGTCTGTCTGCCTGCCTGCCTGCAGGAAGGGTGCTGGGCACTGATGTAGCTGTGATGTAGTGACTGTGGTCATCCCCGGTAATAATCTGCTTGAACTCTCCTTGCTTATTGTTGTACACTTTATGGTGGTGATTTTACCTGTCAGAATTTGCACTCCAAAATATTCTGGAACATGTAGAGCCTTGGCAATCTCAAGAGTGTGAATGCTAAATTTAAACTTTCAGTACAGGAAATTTTATAAGTTCCAATGCAGTTTGCTGCTTTCTTGGAAAAGAAGGAGACTATCAGTTTTAAATTATTTGGGTTAAACTTAGTTCAGTGACTAGTGGTAGGCAAGGCTTTGCACAACTGAATGAATGTAATTATTCTGCTCTTACCAGAAGAAATTTGCAATAAAAGTCTTATGACAGTTTCAGAAATATGGAAATGAAATAAAGCCCTACACTTTTAAAGGAAATAACTTTTCCAGGCAAGGTGATACACGTTCAGTAAAATTACATCAGACTGTATTTGGATTACAGGAAATACAATGGAAATTATATCCATTACTCTATTTCTTTTCTGTGTGAAATCATATAACACCTTTAAATATTGAAAAGCTGATAACAGAGCCTATAAATATTTTAATTTAACTAAAATACTGATAAAAAGGAAGCATAGTATATTAGCTTTAGCTATGTAATAAGTTCAACTAACAATCATTTTATGAATTGACATACAGTTTATTAGTATCATAATCAAAGAAATCTCAAATGTTTATTAACTCAGTATTTTTTACTCACCTGATTGCTCTGATGACAGTTTTAAGAGCAGGGGTGAGATCTTCTACTGACACATCACACTGGCACCCTTTGTCATCATAAACATCATCTGTTCCAAGACTGGTGTCAGCTGCAAAATGCAAGAGCAAACTAAACAAGAGGCATTTAAAAATCTCTTCTTTAGTGTTTTCAAACTGCTTGCAGAGTGGTTCTGGAAAAATAAAGATTGCAAACCTAGTATGACAGAGCTTCATCAGTTTGCAAACTGTATGATGCACCTGTGTGTGTCTATGCTTGTGTCATAAACACTTGGGTAGTCCCAGTGTAAAATTAGTGTAAAAATTAGAAGGAAGAATTCCTTCTAATAATCTTTTAAATAAATAATATTTGAGTACCAGGATGTCTATTCCTGATGCCCCATGGTTTTTCATCACATTCTCTGTCGTACAAGAAAGAGATGGTGAGCTAACAGATGTAATGGCAGAATCAAAAGATGCTGAAGTTTTATTGTTACTATTTTACCACTATGGGTCAACCTGACCTTGAGGACAAAGGAGAAGATCCATTTCATTTAATAAGGAGGTGGTGGAATGATCCGACACTTTATTACAGGCGAAAATAAAAAAAGCATCTTTTTGCCAAAAATGAATAGAGAATGACATCCATCACGGATCAATTGCCACCTTAAACCTCAGAGCCATGGAGATATTGAAGCCTTCCTTTGCCATAGGAGCTTAAGCCAAGTTACTGTAATTATTTACCTGAGAAAAAAAGGATCCTTTACCATTTCTTAACACCATTTCTTAGTCTTACCATTTCTTAACTCTGCCAGAGTTACCATTAGAGAATTATCTAGAAATCTCAGAAGTGCCCATTGTATCTGAATACACAAATAAAACAGGTACTGATGCATGACCAAGAGGCTTACAAACTTAAAATGTGCTGGAATATGAATGGAGCAAGAAGGGCAGGGTCACGGATGCCTGCATATCATATATGTTTTGAAGGTATGTGAAGTACAAAAAAATTCTTGAGGGTAGGTGTTTTTTCATCCCAAATAATCTTTCTTCAACTGCATAAAGTCTAAGCGCCCAGGTGAAGAATTTTACTCAAGGCCAGTGTATTTCATCATGTAAGTGTCTCTGCTTCATCAGGAAGAGAGTGTAACATGAAAGAGTGACATGAAACATAGAAAAAAGTATGGGATTCAGGAACCACTCAGTAAGAGAGGAGATTTCTTCCCAGTCCTATGTCCCTGTCTACATTCATGCTGTTATTTAAAATATAGGTTTAGTCGTTCCAAAACACTTCAAGTAAACCATTTCAGGGGCTTCTATTAGCAGATTTGAAGCACAGACAGACACAAATGATTAGAAGATATTTTTTTCAAGTTCCTTTTTCAGGTAGACTGCAAATTAAAGATGAAAAGTATTATTTGTCAGTCAAAAGTGCCTAAAATGTCATGGTACCTTCTAAATCTAATAGAAATGCTATCTTGGCATGAACAGCAACATACAGCATTTTCAGGAACTGGTGTTGCTGCATTGTTTTCTTCACAGACCTAATGTTCAGGCATATTAATTTTTTTTTCCTTAAAAAAATTGAGTAGTTCATTACTCTTGGGAACTGGAACATTTATAAGGAACATCTGTAACTTTGAAGAACAGGTGATTCTACCTTTGGTAGATCAATTTAATAAAGAAACATGAAAAATAAAATGCAACTATAAAAATTTAATTTTTAAATTGTAAAAGTGTAATAGTAAAAGTAAAATATCTTCATGCAAAACTTTGAAATCTCTCCTTCTATGCTATTACTGTAAGTCATGCCTACAATGATGCCAGGAGTGCTTTTTCCATGCACGCTTTCATAAGCTTTTCTACTGGCTTATCTTATTGATAAAATATGTATCTCTCCACCTATCCTGCCTCAAAAACACGTGGATCCCTGCCCAGAAATGTGACTAGCTAAAATAAACTATGCAATTAGTTTGATAGGTATACACACTACCTAAACTCCCCCCTCAGAACGTGCTAAGTATTCCACAACACTAACTTTCCAGGTGTCACATCTGATCAGCCTCTCCAGTTACCTCTCCCAGTGTGGAAATCTCCCAGCTCATTATAAGTGCCGTATTAAAACCAGCGCTTTTTATGCTACTGATATTTCCAGTGACTCTCTAAGATTTGAATCTATTCTGTTATGTCAGTATAAGTTAGGAAAAATTCTGCTAAGAACACAAGAGCTATAACCGTGTAAACCCAGTGAAACAGGAGACTCTAACTTGAAAGTTTAAAATAAACATGTTTCTGAATGGTTGTCTCACTGCCAAGAAGAGTGTCATTAATAAAAAGGCTTCCTTAACATGGTGTATCTTTGCAGAACTGTTTTGAGAACAGTATGGTGCAATTACAGTGTTTCATATTGCTCCCTTGGGAATACAAAAATCAGCAAAATTTTTAGATAGATGCTGGAAAATTGTTATAAATTTAAGCCAGCTTTAAGAACAGATGCTGCTCCTAATAAATCACCTTTTTTCTTTTTAATATTCCACTGATATAAATTTCCTAATTACGGCAGAACCTCAATACCACATGTCAATAAAGGTTGTGAAAAGCTATAAACCTTATTTGATTCCTATGGGAAATATTCATGTTTCTTTAGAACACTGAGTTGACTTGGGAAAAAGTTTGGGAAATGCATAGTAGCAATTTGGAGAAAAAATTCCAGCTTAAAACACCACTGAAATCAAAGTTCACATTCTGATGAATTTTTCCAGTGGAAGCTCGTGTTGTGTACCACATAGTTATGAGGTGAGACGTACTTGTACCCCTTCTGTCCCTCTCGAGTTCATCCTTGAGGTCAGGGTTGAGTTGGGGTCAGTTTGGCTGCTTTAGTAGCTACAGCTGTTCAAATCCCTGCCAGTTCCCGGATGGGGCTAAGCTACATCCTCCAAGCTGCTGTCTGTTCCCAGGGAAAGCTCTCCCCAAGCACTAACAGGGCAGGTAGGTGCCCAACTACCAGCTGCATACATCTACTTCTTCATCCTTCCCCATACCCCTTTTCCGTGTCTCCTGCTCTCCATTGGGGTGGCTGCGCATGGTCCACGTGGGTTCCACGAGGAACTTTGGGCAGCAGCTGCTCTGCATGAGCCTGACTGTTCTTCCAGGCCTTCTGAGAGTTAGCCTTGGTCCCTCTTTCTCTCGAGGAAGCTCTACCACTAGCTAAGCAGGGTTTTCCAGTCTGTTGTTTGGGCAGACCATGAATATGGTCTCAATGATGGCCAAAGTGTCTCTTAATACAGATTTAGACAAACCCCTGCAAGTTTCTCTAAGAAGGGCTGTCAGTCCATTTGACAGTCCAGAAACAATTCCACTTTTCTAATACCAGCATATTTACAATTCAGTATATGTTTTGATCCTAAACAAAGAAAGTGTTTATTTCACAACTGATGAGACATCCACAATTTTCTTACAATCTTTGACATTATTTACCTTGGGCTACAGTCTGGTCTCTGCTGCTTTTTAATTTTTTCCTCTTTCTTCCTGAAGACCAGTCTTTGATTTAATCACATAGCAAAGCAGCAGTTACCAAGATATAAAAGAGGTGTGCACAAGGCAGTAAAATTGTCTTGATATTTCCCTGTTTGTCACAGTATTTATTCACTTGTCACGCAAACTCTAGTCATTAATGATCACCCCAAATGAATGGGCAAAAAAATTACACTGTTCCGAAACATTTTATGTCACCAACACAAAATTTAGAAGTTTGTAGCTGCATTTCATATGGCTCTGTGCAAAAGTTATGCACAAGGCTTGGATTATTACTTCTGTAAACATCACGTGCCCTTTCTTAGAAGTGGTTTCTGTTGTTTAATAAAATGCTTTGGCATTGGGAGAACTGTGAAACTACTCTGATCACTCTCATAGCTTCTTACTTTCACTGTTAGTAACATTCTAGTAACTATCTACCTACTTAACAAAATAAAAAAGATCTTGTACTCTGTTTTCTGGGAACAACCATATGCCAGCAACAACGGGCCAGCATTGGTAAGTGTGTGTGCTGATACCACAGATAGTTCTATGGAAGTGCTTCTGACATAGTGACCGGTATGGTGATCCCAACACAGACCTTTTTACTCGCTTTTTGGAAGCCTTCAGAATCACTTTGATCTTTGACTGAGTAAAATGTAGTTCGGGCTCTTCACATAGGTGATCTAAATAATTCTGCTGAGGCTGAGAACCTACCTTCTAGATATGGCAAAACCTAAATAGGTGTCTGAAGTCGGTAGCTTGCATATGGCTCCCATTTATTCATGTTACAACACAGTGTTGTGTTGACTTGGTTAAAGACACACAGATTTGGAAAAAAAAAAAAAGTCTGATTTTCATTGTAATGCATGACCCAAGGTGAAAAATGGATGGTGGCCTAATTTTCACAGGTTCTGAGTTAGATCCAGCCATAGTCTTTAACTATCATTCAAAATCCCAAGTTTGACTTGGGAATTGATGTCCAAGCAATTCATAATGCAGCTCCACAGCCTGTTCTCCACCCTATTCAGCAGCCTCATTCAAGTGCAGAGCTGCTCTGGCTGCCCAGGGCAGCAGTGCAAGGCACCCCAATGGGACACACTCATCTTGACACTCATTTTCTGCATGAGTAGTCAGAAAGAAAACAAGTGGATAGTTCAATGCATCTAACTTCTGGGCAAGTAAAGTTAGACATAAATTCAAAGCTTTTGGAGAACAGGTTGTCCCCATGGGAGGTGTTGATGCAAAGGGATGCCCAGGCACGTGCTTTAGCATTAGACTCTAAACTGCCTTAATTTTACACTGCTACTGAGCTCAGATGACCCCCCCTTGTTCAAGAAACAATGCTGGCAGCTTAATACTCTCATTAGTCTGTTCTTTCAGCACCCTTTGCAAGAAAATAGAGCCTCTGTTGTGCTACTCCATGTAATGCCTAGGTAATGTCTCCAAGGTAGGTGTATTTCACTCAGTTTTACCCTGCCTTTGAAGTACTTTTCTTCACACTGAGGATTTACTGTGGTGAGTTAAGGATTTAGCCTATGGCCTCTAAATTATGAAGATGTACTGTACATATTTTATAGTATTATCACAAATGCTATAA